TTGGTAGGGGGTGGGGCGGGGATGGAGTCTCTCTCTGTTGCCCAGGCTAGAGTACAATGGCACAGTCTTGGCTCGCTGCAGCCTCTGCCTCCTGACTTCAGGAGATTGAATTTGTTTTTAAAGTGCTGCTTAAGAGACCTGACATGCATCCTATGCTGGATGGCATATATGCTGCATTAAAAAGTTTAAGCAAAGTTGGTAATTCAGTGCATATGAACATAGCCACTAGGAATGAAAACAGATTGTTTTCTTACTGTCCCCTCATTTTTGACTTCAGTATCTCAGAGCCCTAATTGTGACCTTTTTTGTGTGTATAATAGTCATCAGTTGAGGATGTTGTTTCCTTTGAGCCTGTAGCCTAGACATATCCCCCAAGCTTTAGTAAGTTTTGTGGTTTGGCCTCTCAAATGGGCCCTGACCTTTTGTCAGTAGCTTCAGAGGCATGAGCCTGGGGCCAGCAGTCAGCTACAACATCAGGAGGCTTCTTGAGTCACCACATCTGCCCTGCAGACCTTGCCTCTGGAAGCACTTTGCCTGGTGCGTTAACTGCTCTCTGAGGTCATTCCCTTGGGGGCAGTCTTCAGTGATGTTCTGCCACAAACCTCTAAGAGAAGAGAACAAAGGAGCATTTCACCTTCCGGTTTTGTTTTGATATTCTCCCTCCCTAAAGTGCCACCATCCACCCAGCTAAGTATGTGCTTCTCTCCCTGCTTCAGAATTCAAATGGGATTTACACTGGCTTCATTAAAGTACAGATGGAACTCTGCAAACCTCCACAGACTTCTCCAAACTCTGGAAAACTCTCTCCCAGTAGCAATAGCTGTATGAACACACTTCATATCAGCAGCACAAACACTGTCGGGGAAGTGATCGAGGCCCTGCTCAAAAAGTTTCTCGTGACTGAGAGCCCTGCCAAGTTTGCACTTTATAAGCGTTGTCACAGGGAAGACCAAGGTACGCTGCCAGCTTAAAGGGAAAATGGTCTGTGCTTCCACTTCCGTCTGTTGTTCTCATTAGCAGAGGGAGGACTGGTGGGTCTCATCCATGTGGATTGTGTCAGAGCCTGGAGTCCGATGCTGGAAGCCATGGTGATCTTAGCATGCACTTAGTGCTTCCTGGCTGTCCACATTTTTGAGTTGGACAGCTGTGGGTCTGAGGAGCTTAGAAGCATTCGTAGATGATGGACAGTTACAGAGTATTTTGTGTTGGGGGGGATGGGGTGGGGGCTGTTTTTTATTGTTAAGAGGAGTGGCTTTGATTTTAATTTTCTTTAGGACACAAAAGAGTGCCTCTGTGCTTGAAGTTTTCAGTAGCACATTCCATATTTGATGTGCATTGGTACATGGAGTGGTTCGGCAGATGTGTGCTTGCTGAGACTTTGCGGATGGGAGGCACCTGTGTATCACAGTGCATTTCAGCGTACTGATAGATATGGCCCAGCCCTGGGCTCTCCTGTTTCCTTAGCTTGTCTCACTTGCCATTACATTGGGACATTTTGGTACTCTGCCAGCACCCCAGAGGCTCAAAAAATGAGTGAATAACATTTTGATCTAGGGTCTGACTAAACTTCATAACCACATTCATGGAGTAGAAAGAGAATAATAAATTACTGAATGAAAATGGAATGAGATATTCCAGGTCAGGCAGAGACCAGAAATTGATACCAGTGGTGGAGAGGAGTGAATCCCTACATCCAATTTGAAATCAGGGTGTGTATGTGTGTGTACAATAAACTATTTAAGCCTTCTTTAGATTTTCTGGGTAAAGCCTAATGTAGCTATAGAATAAACTGTATTAACCTGGACATGATAGTAATGTTCTTCAGTTACCCAGGATGCAACCCAGCTAATTGCTGAGCATACATCTTTTTAAAAACATACCACAGGGCTAGACCCTATGGAATACAAAGATGAACAGGCCAGGGTTCCTACCTCCAGTGGCCACAAGCTTAGTGGTGTGGGGGAAATTCATATCTACAGGGAAATTGGCACCTGCAATGCAGTGCTTCTAGAAGTGCCGAAATACTGTAGAGAGGCTCGATGGCGTTTTTATCTGCCAGTTTCTTTGTTTGCTCACCTAGACTTCAGCTGTACAATCTGAAGGTAATGGTGACTTGTTGAAATATTACCCCCATGGCTGGCAAATCCTTCAACACTATTGGCAGTGTCAGGGAGGGAGGGAGGGAGAGGGGAGAGAGAGAGAGAGAGAGAGAGAGAGAGAGAGAGACAGAGACAGAGAGACAGAGAGAGAGAGAGAATGTCTAGCATCAGACATACAGCTGTGCTTGAAGCTACCAGAGCTTGTATTCTGATAGCTAATTCTTAATTAATCTGTAGAGAGATTTGCTTCTAGAACTCTGATTTTATGTTCTTTGGATGGTATATTTTTGTTTTTCATTTGGTTTTTGTTTGTTTTTTGAGACAGTCTTGCTCTGTTGCCTAGTGGTATGATCTTGGCTCACTGCAGCCTCTGCCTCCTGGGTTCCAGCGAATCTCCTGCCTCAGCCTCCCAAGTAGCTGGGATTACAGGCGCCTACCACCATGCCCAGCTAATTTTTGTATTTTTAGTAGAGATGGGGTTTCACCATGTTGGCCAGGCTGGTCTCAAACTCTTGACCTCAGACAATCTGCCTGTCTCAGCCTCCCAAAGTGCTGGAATTACAGGTGTGAGCCACCATGTCCGGCCTTGGTTTTTGTTTTTCAGACAGCATCTTACTCTGTTGCCTAGGCTGGAGTACAATGGCACGATCATAGCTCACTGTAACCTTGAACTCTTGGGCCCAAGTGATCCTCTTGCCTCAACCTCCTGAGGAGCTAGGACTATAGCGGGGCACCATTATGCTCAGCTAATTAGAATTTTTTTTTTTTTTTTTTTTTGAGACTGGGCCTTGCTATGTTGCCCTGGTTCGTTTTGAACTCTTGGCCTCAAGGGATCCTTCTGCCTCAGCCTTCCAAAGTGTTGGGATTATAGGTGCGAGCCACTATGCCTGGCCTATTTTTATTGTTTTTAAAGGAGTTGTAGACCCTTTTTTAGGTTTCTTACCTTGTTTTCTTTTTTTTCCCCCATTAAAAAAATTAATTTATTTTTTGAGATGGAGATTTACTCTTGTTGCCCAGGCAGGAGAGCAATTGAATGATCTCGGCTTACTGCAGCCTTGCAGCCTCTGTCTCCCAGGTTCAAGCAATTCTCTTGCCTTAGCCTCCCCAGTAGCTGGGATTACAGGTGACCACCACCATGCCCAGCTTAATTTTTTGTATTTTTAGTAGAGATGGGGTTTCACCATGTTGGTCAGGCTGGTCTCAAACTCCTGCCTGCCTCGGCCTCCTAAATTGCTGGGAGTACTTGTTTTCTAAAAGGAAGAGCAGACCTAACCATAAGCATATTTTGGGACTAATACATATTAAAATTTGTTCTTGAAAATAATTTCTTCCTTAATCAAGGCACAGTTTATATTTGAAGAGAAACAGAATAGATTTCATTCTACTGTGGGCTACTGGTGTTAAATAATGAGATGAGCCGATTGGTGACTTAGAGGCTGGGGTAAAGTGATGGTTACCTTGACCTGGAGGAGGGGATTTGAATGGGGGTGCAGTCTCAGGAATGGCTGAGCACTCTGTAACATGCTGCTTGTTTTCCTTACCCAGTCTACGCCTGCAAGCTCTCAGACCGGGAACATCCACTCTACCTGCGTTTGGTAGCAGGGCCCAGAACAGACACACTTAGTTTTGTTCTTCGTGAACATGAAATTGGAGAGGTAAGTTATTGTTGACTATTGCTTTAAACTATACAGAACAGCTGGCCCTATTTGATTGCGGTAGCCTATTGACTTAGCTGTTGGTGGGGGATGGGGAGTGAAGAGAGTTGGAGGGCAGGGAGAGGAAGAGATTGTGAATCGTCAGAAATGACCCCAAAGTTAGCCTACGATGTTAATCTCTCACTACCTTCTATTAGTCTGTCATTTTCAGAGGTGGGAGAAAATAAATATTTTTTACTTGATCTCCAATCCAGAGACATTTTCACCCCTTCCAACCTCCAAAATACTCCAGTCCTGCTGAACTTTGAAAGTTGACACTTTCCATGTGTTTGCTACTAACAAAAGTCTCCAGGCTAATTCCCTTCTAAAGGGAAATAAAAGGAAATCCGATCTCTTTACCATGGAAGACATTTAGCTTTCTAGAATCTTTTCTTCCCCCCTCGCCCAGTCAGCTGATTAAGAAATTATGTTTCCATGTGCATCATTTGCCATGTTGTCTCCAGGGAGGATTGTATGTAGCCATTTCAGTAGAAGAAAGAAGGCACTTGAGCCTGCCCTCCAGATCAAGTGTCAGCTCTAAATGACACTTGAGCATGTCCAAGCTCCTGCCCCAGTCTTCTGTCTGGAACAGGAAGTGGTATGAAATGTCCTGCATGGTGCAGTTGAGAATACGGTCTCTAGGTTAAAAGTTAGGAAAATGACTGTTTCCTGCTCTTTGTTAGATGAGGCGTCTGACCTCAGGTAGATCTTCTAATCTTTTAGCCTTCAGTTTTAAAATCTGTTAAGTGGGACTAAACAGTTTACAAGGTGGCTTCTAGTCACAATTAGAAATGTATACATGTAAGTGAAGAGAGTTTTAGGAAGACAGTGGTTTTAGATGTTTTCGAAGTTTCTTTCGATTCTGGTGTTTTGAAGCTTTTCAAGAAATACAGACTCATTTTGGGGAGCAGGCGGGGTGCAGAAGTCTGACTTGGCTTTGCAGTTGGGCAGCATTCCCTCTGCCTGCTGAGGCCAGACTCATTAGCATAGTCTATTCAGTGTTTCATTTTTCTTGTCCTTAGTGTTTTAAGTAGCAACTAGAACTACATTGGACAAGAATTTTATTAGTTGTCTTATTTTATTTTAATTATAATTAGAGATAGGCTCTCTTGCTACATTGCCTAAGCTGGTCTCAAACTCCTAGGCTCAAGCGATGCTCCCACCTGAGCCTCCCAAAGTGCTGGGATTACAGGTGTGAGCCACTGCACCTGGCCTTTAGTTTTGAAATTTACTTTACATTTGGGTTTCTAGTGGGTTTCATCGTCCTAGACTGCTGTACTGGATCTCTGTATGGTATTCTCGTTTCTCAGTTATTTAAGGCAAACTGAACTGAAGGAGGAAACTTTTCATAGCTGTTAGGGGGTAGGAGGGATATTTATATGATGTTTTTATTTTGGAGACTTCAACATAAGCGAAAAATAAAATGTTAAAAATTTTAAATTAGCAGATTACTCTAATGTAGAAGTTTTGCTCTCCTACTCCATGTTGCTCATTTTCTTTAATAACCAGCCTGAATTCATCTCCAGAAATTCTTCTACCATGGAGCCCACGTGGATTTACTTACTTTCTCTATTCAGTTGTGTTTGGTTATCTTGAGCCTTTTCCCTACCCCATCCGACGGCAATTCTCAGCCAGGATCCAGGGCCCCCTTTGGGAGAAGAGGATGTGTTTGGAAAAAACCTCCTAGGTGATGCTAGATACCCTCCTTGACATTCACTGCTTTTATTTTTTTTTAATTTATTTATTTATTTTTCCTTTTAAAAAAAAACTGGGTCTTGCACTGTCGCCTAGGCTGGAGTGCAGTGGTGCAGTAATGGCTCACTGCAGCCTCAAACTCCTGGGCTCAAGCAGTCCTCCCACCTCAGCTTCTCGGGTAGCTGGGACTGTAGGAGTGTGCCACCACAGCCAGCTAATTTTTAAACTTTTTGTAGAGACAGGTTGTCACTATACTGCCATGGCTGGTCTCGAACTACTGGTCTTAAACTTCTGGGCTCAAGCGATCCTCCTGCCTCAGCATCCCAAAGTGCTGGGATTATAGGCATGAGCCAGCATGCCCAGCCTAAAAGATTTTATTTTGTACCTGCTAAATAAGTACTAGGTGTTGTTAGGGACAAGGCTCAGAGCCTCAAGGCAAGAGATAAACTCCAAATAGCGAGAAGTACGGCAGCTGTAGTGTAGGTGAGGTGCAGGTGAAATAGATACTAAGCAAATCATTGTAATTTAAAAATCTTGGTTGTGATCAGGTTCTCTGAAGCCTTCTGACACACTTAGTCCCGGGTGGGAAGAGAGGGGAGGAAGTTGTGGAAAGCTGCTTAGAGAAAGTGGCGTTTAAGCTGAGATGGGGAGGATTAGTAGTTCATAGCCAGGCAAAGTGGAGAAGGGTAGAACGCATGCCACTTGGGTAGAGAGTGAGGCTCAGTGAGAGAGAAATGGGGCTGGAGAGTTTAGAGTCTTTCAGACTTAGCCTCAGCGACTAAGGATGGTTCTGAGCAGGAGAGGGTCTTGGCCAGATGTGCATTTTACAAAGGATGTTCTGTTTGGGGAGCAGATCGGGGAGCCTAAGAGCGGAGTGAGGAGGCCAGGTAAGAAGCTGTCCCAGTGATGCAGGAATAGATGATGGCAGCTAACGCCAAAGGGCTGTAGAGAGAGAGAAAAGCAGGCTGAGTGGAGAACTGTTTGGGGGTGATGCGATTGATTACACGAGGTAAGAAAGAAGTCAGTTACAATGAAGACTCAAGGTTAATATGGAAAGAGCGTTGTTTTTTTTTTTTTTTTTTTTTTTTTTTTTTTTTGAGACAGAGTTTCGCTCTTGTTACCCAGGCTGGAGTGCAATGGCTCGATCTCGGCTCACCGCAGCCTCCGCCTCCTGGGTTCAGGCAATTCTCCTGCCTCAGCCTGCTGAGTCGCTGGGATTACAGGCACACGCCACCATGCCCAGCTAATTTTTTGTAGTTTTAGTGGAGACGGGGTTTCACCATGTTGACCAGGATGGTCTCGATCTCTTGACCTCGTGATCCACCCGCCTCGGCCTCCCAAAGTGCTGGGATTACAGGCTTGAGCCACCGCGCCCGGCCTAAGAGCGTTGTTTTTAATACTGCTGGGGGGAAATCAGGTGAGGAATGAAAGTGTCTAATAGACTTAGGGATATGGAGGTCTACGGCTTTTAGGGAGACCGTCTTGAAGAACAGTAAGGAGAGGGTAGGAAGGTGATTGGTGTGAGCCGAAAGGGAAGTAGATGGTGTCCTTAGGCTGGCAGCACCCCAGCTCTTGCAGACCACACCTTCTGCAGCATGGTGCTGGGAGGAGAGGGCAGCTGTACCTCCAGGAGCTCCCGGTCAGTGCCTAAGTCTGACTGAGCTTTAAACACCTAGAGTTTTTCTGTGTTTCCTGACAGTGGGAAGCCTTCAGCCTTCCAGAGCTCCAGAATTTCTTGCGGATCTTGGACAAGGAAGAAGATGAGCAGCTGCAGAACCTGAAGAGGCGCTACACAGCCTACAGACACAAGCTGGAAGAAGCCCTCCGTGAGGTGTGGAAGCCTGATTAAAGCAGGGCTCCCTGCCCTCGAGGCCCCATGTGGGACAGACCTACAGAACAGCACCAAGAGCCTCTGTTCTCAGAGGGCTGCTGTCTTGCCCCAGTATGCTAGGGTCCTCCCCTTTTAATCTGTAGATTTTGTTCCCCAAATCTGGTCACACAGCATCCTGCACCTTAGTGTCTCATGTAAGGGACTCTGCAAGCTTGTTGTTCAGCACCGCAGTGTTACCTCTTGGCAAGCTGTGAACCTGTAGCCTCATCAGGAGCATTCGAGGGTGCTTGGAAGCATGAACTCTGGGGTTTTTTTTTTTTTTTTAATTTTCTTTTAGTTATTTTAATTATGTGATGATGCTGTTAAGCTTATGGATGTGCAGATGATTTTTAAAAAAGCTTAACTAGGAGTCTATCTTTCTGAATACTTGTCCTGTTTTGAAACTACCTGTCTTTTTTTTAACGTCAGAGGAATTGATCCATGTGAATCAAAAGGCACAGGAATCTAGGAACTCTGAGGAATTTATTGTGAAGGATTTTGTTGGGGGTTGACAGAGAGGAAAGCGTAAGTTTGGAGAAGGTGTGTGGCGTGGTGGCGAGCGCTGTGGGCTGTGGAACGTTACTTGGCTTTTCAGTTAGGTGTAGTGGAGAAAGGGGTAGTTGCTTATAAACGAGTTAAAAGCATTCAGTGTTGAGATGTTAAACCCATTTTAGGATCTCTTGGTTTCCTGGTGGGTAAAATGTGGGAACAGAGCCAGAGGCAGAAGCTAGAACAGACAGAGGGACCCGTGAACTCCGCAGCAGACGGACCGGAGACTCGGGCAGGTGGAGCCTGCTGTCCTGGGCAGACGTGGGCCTCACGCAGCTGGAACTGACCCGCTCCTCTGCCCCTTTGGAGTGGAAGGTCTCATTGGTGTAGCTTCTCTGCATAGGCAGGACAGTGACCGCAAACTCTTGTTAAGTTACATACAGTGTATAGTTTACCCCCCACAGGTGGTTTTCAGAGTTGAGATGGAATTTTGGCAGGGGTGGTTGTTTTTCCCTTGATTGCTAGCTAGGATATTTATCAAGTACACTTTTGTGACAATCACTCCCTTCCCTTTTATTCCTCCTTTCCTTTTTCTTCCCCTTTTTCTCTGTCCCACCCTTCTCTCCTTCCCTCTCCTCCCCTCTCCTCCCTTTCCCTTTCCTCCCCCTCCCTTTCTTTTCTACGTTGAAATCTGTTCTTACATAATGTAGAACAGGGCTATTGAATAAAGACCCAGTCCTACCAAATCTTTAGTTCTAAAGGACAACTTGATTATGAGTAGGAGGGCCCCAAGAAAGGGAGGAACGTCCATACCCAGCTAACCACACAACAGGGCTTCACTATGGAAATATTTTAACAAAAGTACATGTTATTACCAACCAAAGAAATTGCAGGTGCAATAGAAGCCTTCCTTAAAACAAGCTAAATAACCTCATTTTATGCAGCAGTTTAATCTGAGAACAGAGGGAAAGGTGTGCAGCGGTTCCAGAGGGGCCTTATATTCTATTTTTAGTCTAAATATTTTTTGTTTATAAATTCCCAAGGAATTGTTAACACTTTGGTGACACCTAATGGATTCTTTTTGAAATTCCAAGGTGCTGCAGTTCTTTGCCTAAGTGAACTGTGCCTTTTATTGCATTTCTGTTCCTCTCTTGGTGGCTCTTCTGACTTTTCAGAGAATACCCATCTTGTTGGAGGCAGACTTACGTTGTTGTTATGCTGTGCCACACAATTTATTAAGACAATCATATCTTCCTAAGCATTTAAGGAAAGTTGAAAAAAAATAGAATTAGCAGCTATAAAATATGTATGGCACATCTTGTTTAATTTTGCATGTAACTTCTCTTTAGTATATTGATGAGGTTTTAGTGACATTGTCACCTAACACTTTACCTTTATTGTTCAGGGATTGCCTTTGTGATTTTTATACTGGTTTTACTGCTCAGACTGTGGCCTGGGTTTGAGTATATTGTTAGCAGCCACCTGGTTTTTTACTTATTCATCCCAGTAAACTTATATTTTGTGAGGCATTTGTTTCTCAGATTAAGACACTGTTAGAACCTAAAATAGTAGCTGATGGGTATCTGTGAATTTTTTTTTTTTTTACTTGAAGTAGACTGTCTAACTAGGCATCCTCATCTGTATTTATCCAGAACCTCACCCACTGTCATGTGCACTACGAATTGCAATTTGGAAACTTACTGTATTGAAATTCTGTCAGTTAATGTTTCTTGAAGAGTGATGTTTTTTCCCAAACACTGGTAATTGCAGCCGCATTTTTAATGTGTAAGTGAAGAAAAAAGGCCGCTAAGGCCAAAGATTTTTAAAGAATCATTGTACAAATCATTATGTTAAACTATCTAAGCTTTGCTGTAATACTGTTTTCTCTTCAGTATGTGATGGTACAGGAAAGATGTTAAATGAAGGGGGTAGTATTGCAGGAGAGCATTTTAAATGACAGAAGTAAAATGTTATAATATTTATAATTTTGATGGGTTTATTTTTGTAGGGAAGATTTTTCTCCCCTAACATTGTTTATAGAATGGCAAAATTGTTTCCATTATTAAAAACTGAAATTATTAGTTGATGTTTGTGTGTGCTTATTTATGATAATATGCTAGATTTAAAAAGGTCACAGGAGTGGGATGAGCTGCTTTTGCAGAGCACAGGGACACATGCTGGAATGCAACAGCTTTTCCTAGGTTTGGGTTGGTTATTTGTTCTCCCAGATGTCATTTTCTGTTTGCCTTATCCTCTGGGGAAAAATAACCCTAAGATCACACAGAATATTCCTATTTTATTTAAAACAATTGTTTTAATTATTGAAATATATACATTTAAAAGTATATAAAGCATGCAAAAGAGGGGAGAGGCAGAGTGAAAAAAAATAAGAACATGCAAACAGTTTAAATAATTATAAAATGGATACCCCATGACCATTACTGAAATAGAACCTTGTCAGTTCTTTACAAATCCTCTCCCTCCAGGCTGGGCGCCGTGGCTCATGCCTGTAATCCCAGCACTTTGGGAGACCAAGGCAGGCAGATCACCTGAGGTCAGGAGTTTGAGACCAGCCTGACCAACATGGAGAAACTCTTTCTCTACTAAAAATACAAAATTAGCCAGGCATGGTGGCGCATGCCTGTAATCGCAGCTACCTGGGAGGCTGAATTAGGAAAATCACTTGAACTTGGGAGTTGGAGGTTGTGGTGAGCCAAGTTCGCGCCGTTGCACTCCAGTCTGGGCAAGAAGAGCAAAACTCTGTCTCTCCCTCCACCCATGCTTGCCCTGAGGTCTCCTACCCATGAAACAGACCGCTTCAACATAAGGTTAGTGTTTGTATTTTTTTGGTCACTGTGACTGCCTTACACAGATGGGATGGAGAGTGTCTGGGGAACCCACAGTGATGATGGGGTGGGCACATGCACCTCAGCTTTGTGCCATGGTTTTCGCCTTCTATGTCTGCTGTTGGGAGTATTTTTACCACTACACTGCCCCCTGGAGGGGCTGATGAAATGGGAGCAAGGCTGGCAAAAGGTGGTAGAAACCTTTCAAGTATCATAGCTGCTCTATAAATAAAAATAATTGAGATAGAAAATTATGGCTCTACAATTCTGCTTTTCTATTGAAATATTCAGAAGAATCAGGTTTGGGGGTTGCTTGGATTACTACCCAAGGTGCATGGAGAATGGGAATTTTTATCCCTTTCTTGTGGGGTGGGGGAGGTAGAGTCTCACTGTTGCCTAGGCTGGAGTGTAGTGGCATGATTTTGGCTCACTGCAACCTCCACCACCACCACACCCAACGAATTTTTTTGTTTGTATATTTAGTAGAGACGGGGTTTCTCCATGTTGGCCAGGCTGGTCTCAAACTCCTGACCTCAAGTGATCCAGCCACCTCAGCCTCCCAAAGTTCTGGGATTACAGGCTGGCCTTTTTTTTTTTTTTTTTTTTTGTTTAAAGAGTCTTGTTCTGTCACCCAGGCTGGAGTACAATGGCACAACCTTGGCTCACTGCAACCTCCACCTTCCAGGTTCGAGTGATTCTCCTGTCTCAGCCTCCTGAGTAACTGGGTTACAGGCATGCATCACCACAGCTGGCTGATTTTTGTATGTTTAGTGGAGATGGGCTTTCATCATGTTGGCCAGGCTGTTCTCAAACTCCTGACCTCAGGTGATCTGCCAGCTTTGGCCTCCCAGAGTGCCAGGATTACAGGCATGAGGCACCACACCCAGCCCACACGAATATTGAAACAACAGTTAGCAATTGGTGACAAATTTGGAGACACTGTCAGATGACCCTAATTAGGTGTTTTTATTGAAAGAGGAGGGGGCAGGCACAGTGGCTCACGCCTATAATCCTAGCACTCTGGGAGGCCGAGGCCGGCTGATCACTTGAGGCCAGGAGTTCAAGACCAGCCTGGCCAACCTGGTGCAACCCCGTCTCTACTAAAAATACAAAAATTAGCCAGGTGTGGCGGCACACGACTACAGTCCCAGCTACTCAGGAGGCTGAGGCAGCAGAATTGCCTGGGAGGCGGGGGGCTGCAGTGAGCCATCATTGTGTCACTGCACTCCAGCCTGGGCGACAGCAAGACTGCCTCAAAAAAGAGCATGGTGGTAAAGGTCTACACTATAATAGCCAATGCCAGCAAAGTACTTCCCATGTGCCATTCTTCTAAAACGCTTAGTTCGTATTAACTCATTTACTTCCCCATGACATCACCACACTGTTTCTTCATATCCCTTTCTTTTTACAGATGTGGAAACAGACATGTTGAGGTTTAGCAGCTTGCTCAAGACCGCTGTGTGAATGAGTGGCGTACCAGGGAACCGCCCCCCCCATTTCTCTACCATCTTTTTCTGTAAGTGCTCTCTAGTTCCTCAGCTAAATTGCCTACTGAGTAAAGGAGCAAAAGTCTGTTAAATTGCCTCTAAGGGGTAGCTCACCCAAAAGCATAGCTGTTTTGGTGCCATTGGGTTTGTTGATGTCATTGTGTTTTTATCCAGTTTGGTTCATTTACTATTTCATTTAGGTGATTATACTAAGTCACATAGGATAAAATGCTGATCTGTGTTTTCTTTTTGTTTTTATTTTTTGAGATGGGGTCTCGCCTTTTCACCCAGGCTGGAGTGTAGTGGCACAGTCACGACTCACTGCAGCCTTAACTTCCTAGGGTTAAAAGATCCTTCCGTCTCAGCCTCTCAAGTAGCTGGGACTACACATGCCTACCACCACATCCAGCTAAATTTCATCTTTACAAAAATGAAAAAGAAAATTTAGCTGGATGTGGAAACTCAGGCTATATTACCCATGTTGGTCTCAAACTCCAGGGCTTAAGTGATCTTCCTGCTTTGGCCTCCCAAAGTGCGGGGATTAGCCACCATGCGCAGCCCAGACCGTGTTTTCATTTAGAGGTTCTGTTGCATGGGGGAATGACAGGGCGGGTAACCAAACCCAGTGGTCTCACTGCAATTGGTAAGACAATTCTGGAACCACCAGAAGAACAGCTTCAGTACTTCAGAGTACTATAGGAGCCACGAAACTTGAGCAAAGGTTTGACTCATGAAACCATCACCCCAAACAAGGTTCATCCTCTGCAAAGGGACACATGGAGATAAGTAGTCAAAAGTCTGAGGTATACCCTTGTGTGGTGTGAATCACTACTTAATTGAATGTACAAGAAGTTTTGTATAAGGATAAAGGTGGGTGTGGCGAAGGCTGGAACAGGAGGGAATGGGGACTAGCAGGGTTATATACTAACAACTCTGAAGCGAAATCTGTTCCATCTGCAGGGTTGGATCTGGGTTTGGGTTTTTGTTTTTTTGTGGGCT